CTCGCTAAATAAATATTACTGCTTCTGTTCACCTCTAAACTAAAACTTTTTTCAGAAAATTTCTTTAATTCCCATGAGAAACTTTTCTATCTGAAAAAACAAAGATCTGTTTTCCTAAAATTTCCAAAAATTCTCCCTCTGACATCTTCTAAAGCCCTCTGACATAACAGGAATTCGCTTCTTTAAAAATTCTAAAAATTTCCTTCCTTCAAAATTTCTCTAAGATTTCTTCAGGACTTTTAAAAGTTTCTCTAAATAACAATCTATGAATCAAGAAAACTGCAACAAATTCTGAAAAATTAAACACATTTGAAGATGCATCGACAGCGCTAAAGTCGACGGCAGCGAGTATTGTCATAACGGAAGGGTGCAAATGAGTTCCTGTGAGCCGTAAATTACTACAGCAACGAACACATTTCCTCCTCGCCTCCCTTCTACTCCCTCCTTCTGCCTGGTCCGCATCTGAACAGTCTGGCTTTAAATGTAGCTTAGGAGTGAAACACCGTTCATTTTCAAAATATTAAGCGTGTTTCATCATTTTTTTACCCATCATAATCTCCCCGTTATTTTGACCTTAATACTTTAGCTTTCTCGCTCGTCGATTAATCATCCCTTTATCCGAGCTGCAGTCGCACCCCTCATTACTGCAACATTTTTTTTTACTTTGTTTAACATCACCTTCAAAACGTTCTCAACGAATTGCTGCGGAATATTGTCCCCCTGTATACTCGTCACCGCTGCAAGCCCTGTCCTTTTGACGAACGCTTCAAACTCTTGCACCACAACTGACAAGCCCCCAGTCAGTGGCTTCAGTAGAAGATACATGTTGCGAAGGTCTGCAATAAAAAGTAAACGATGAAGAAATGTCACTGTCAGCGTATACAAAACCCCAGGCCGCCACGCATCAGGTTTGCCAATGCAATCATGCGTTTTTGCGTTTTTTCCAGTAAGTTCATAACTCGGGGATCTGAGAAGCTAGAAGGCTGAAATCTTGGCGTAGTGTTCCCCGCCCAAAGGGTATTAGTGGGCTCAAACCCAGCCTCCGGGCAAGCGTGGGACCCGCGTACGAGCCCGCCAAAATTTTTTTCGGATAAGTTCAAAACTCGGGGACCTGAGAAGCTAGAAGGTTGAAATCTTGGAGGGTCACGGAAGCTAGAAGGCTGAAATTTTAACGGGATGTTTCCTGACAGTTCTGGCGGCCAGTCTTAATTTGTTTAGCTAGAAGTATTTGCCGAAAAAGCCGGTGCCGGTACCAACAAAAACTGCGGGGAACCATGCAAAAAACGCATCTTCGCACGGGCAGTCCGTGCGTTGGCTAATTTTCGAATCTGCAATAAAACTGACTATTTCTCACGTCCTTGTGCAGAGAATTTAGCCTCCAAATTGAATTTAGATTAAACGTGAATGTAAGATATCCCTGCAAAGTTACAGACTCGCATACTATCCGGTATGCGAAATAGCCACTTCGACACAAATATCTTTCAAGTGCCCCTAAGACGTGCCGCAAGTGAAAATCGAAGCTCGTTTAGATATACAATTTCCCAGATGGACGATAAATGTTCTGACAAATTTCAGATTAGTTTTCGGGTTGGTACAGTGCCAACTACAACTCAGACGTGATTATATGGGTGGTGCAGGCGTGAGCGATAGCTGAATTTAAAATCTTTAATTTTCACATGGACAGGGAAAAAACACATAATGCATATTCTCCAGACGTTCGCACACATGCACACATATGCACACACACACACACACACACGCATACACACACACTGCATGCCTCTGGAGAATATGCGTTTTTGCTCACTGTTGCACAGGAAAAAAGCATGAGCAACTCAGGCCTGCTCCAATATAACATGGGATGACCAAACTGCCCGGAGGAGCATTAGGAGCTAGCAAGCAGAGCCTACCATTAACGCGGCCGGCCTCGATACATTCATGGCACACTGCGTATAGATGCTCCTTATGTGCATTCACCATTACATCGCGGCACAGCTTGGTGACCTTATCGTGGCTCACTTTGGGCAAGAAACGACGCGAACGTTCATTCTCATCGTCGATTCGAGAAATCACCTGAAATAATGCAAAATTTCACGGAACTGACTTCGTAACACGCACAACACGGGGCATACTGCTACAGCGCCAAAGTCGGAAGCAGTCGGCAGATGATGAAGCTCAAATGATCAAAAAAGCTCATGCAGTGAAAATTAACATATGTTGCTTCCCTTCTCATTTATAATAAATGGCAGCGCGCACCAGGCTAGCCGGTGCGATCATGCGTTTTGTGCAATTCAGCCCATCG